TTATTAAAGAGGTGGTTACATAATGCACTTACCCAGAATGCGTTCTCTTGTTTTCCATGGTAACTCAGACATTTTGCTACAAAAATGGTCAAAAAGACACTAGAGATGATAATCTTTACACTTGATCTTCCAGTTGCACTAGTTTAACTGGAGCACTTTAACTAGCGCAGCTAGAGATTCATGCTTACACGTAAACTTACACTCAGGAAAACTTGTATCATGAAAATGCAGATAACAGGAGACAGGAATCTAGCGCATCCTTGAGCATTGACCATGAAATGGAACAAGATGCATCATTTAATAATCTTCCAGCTGTTCCCTTCTTTTTTACTGGAAGTCAATGGTTACTTACTAAAGCAACAGTAGTGCAAGGTAAATTCTGAATGGATTGTCTCTTGAGATAAATAATAAGAAAATCAAAACTCAAAGAGCCAAACACTTGAGAGTAATTTACCATACAGCTTTCAAAGCCAAAGCATTCAGTAGTAGGAGCTGAATTCTTTTGGGGTAGGAACTGAGTCGTTCTCAAGGCAGTGAGGGTGCATTAAAAAACCCTGACTCCTATAAATGCTGAAATGTAACCATGGTTAGACTGTGAAGAGAAGGTCATCCTGGACCTGTTGGAACATGCTTGGACACCTTAGTAATATCAGAATTACACTAAGTGCCAAAATGAAAGTGGACATGACTTGATTGCTGTGGACGATGTCAGAGTGGGAAATTAATGCCTTTTGATGTATTGATAGTGCTATAGTCCTGTGACCAGATTCTGTATCCATTTACATAGCTATTTGTATTGCAGCAGGACAGAAACACTTCCAATCTGATTTGTCCTGGGAGAAATCGCAACACAGAGCTCACAGATGTGACACCGGATGGCTCAGCTCAGTCCAAGTAACAGCTAAGAGTGTAATCCACATGAGCAAGTTTAGGCAGTAGAAGGGAACAGACACAGCAAAGCAGGAATCACTGCCTACTAGTTTATCCTTCCTTATAGTGGTTGGTAAATATACCGTGTCGCTCATGTAACAAGCCACGAAGTACAGCCTTTCTGGCACTAAAGGTGGTGGGAGCTTGCTTAAGTTCACACAGAAATCAGAGACCAGTGTTGGCCAGTTTACAAAGCGTGGGGCAAGAGGGGAAAGGTTCAGAGTTGCTTTTTCTTTCTGCATCATAGTATTTATAGAGATATATGGGTAACAGTCTCACCATTAAGTGTCTACATCTCATATTTTTCTAACCTGATACATTTGCCACTGGGAAAAGAATCTAGTGAGCTGGCACAAGAGCCAACTGACAGAACACCAGCGCGGCAGGAACAAGAGAACTGCTTCCTGCAGACTCACTTCCACTTGCCAGTGAGTCCAGTACAGTAAACCCTGCCAGCACACAGGAACAGGGCAATTAAACCTACAAAGGACATGCAGATCTCTAGAGATTTCTGATGTTCTGGAATTGAAAGAAAAATCCCGCTCTGAGCCATGAGTGCAACCACAAGGATTAAAAAACAACCCCTGTGCTGAATACTTCAACGACCAGAAAACAACCTGTTCGGGAACAAAGCAGTGAGATTTATTGCGAACACAGTAGTAAGTTTATGTTCTTCCATCGATGTGACAAGTTAGTTTTTCTTAACGCTGCATTATTGACCCCTCTCCACAGTGGGATATTCATACACAAATTTTAGATCAGTAGACAAAACAGAAGTAGTTTTATTTTTTCCTGATACAATGCCAAATATCAGTCATAGACATAACCAAAAATTATTCCAAATAAATATGCATGGAAAGATTTTTGACAGCTTGATAACAAATTTAAACACAGTAATTATTGTATAAATGATTTAACAAATGGTATTATTGCCAGTGGAATAAGCATCTCCAGGGAAAACAGCATTGAATACATAATCTGGAAATAGATTAAATATATATATAAAATATATTCAGTTTATTGTGTGGATAGATAAATATTAACATATCTGTGCACATAACTGGGAACGAGGCACTTATTCAGGTTAGTATAAACAAGGCCACTTATTAAGTAGAAGGGAAAATGTTAATAAGCCTCCAAAACATCTTGCTGAAATCTAAAACCTTGAAGCCATAATAAAAAAGGCATGCTGTTACAGACATATTTATAGTTCACTGAATTGTAAGAAATCCAATTTCTTAAGAATGGGACAAATCCGGCAGGCCTTACTGAAAACATTGGGATTTTTTTCCCAGGAAGAGGACTTTGATAGTTGACTCATGAATCTTACTCATGCTTGTCCAGCTTTTCAGTGTTTGCTTTGTATTTTTCTTTGTTATCACCAGTTTTCACTATTGTTTTACATATTGTTAGAAAAACATTAGTCTGAGAATCCCCATCAACCTAACATTTTACAGAGTTGTAATCAGACACTATTCAAAGCAGTGATCAAGACGTTTATCAGACTAAATATTTTGCTTGTAGAACACATGGGTTTTGATGTGATTTTACAAAAAGAAATCATAATTAAAAAAAGATTTTGCCTGCAAGAAACTTTAATGATACTTCAGTCTGTTAAAATTCAAAAGCAGAAAAATAGCTCTACTGAGAAACACCTAATTTCTGTATTTTATACATATTTTTTAAAAAGATCTTCTCTGCTTATACAAAAGAGTCATTTTATAAATATTAAAGTGTTCTATTATTTACACATGTCCCATTTTACTGTAGAATCATTGACTGCTATTATCCAAACATGCAGGTTCTAGGAGACAAATTCTGCATTTGTCATTATCATAGTGATTTCAAATATAGGCACAAAAGCAAATCTGATCTTAGGTTACATTCGCAACTTAGTTGTGAACTTAAATTAAATACAAAAAGTATCTGTGGGTTAAGTCTTTGATCAACCTTGCACACGTAATACATGGATCACAAAACCAGGAGCTTCATTAAAACAGTAAATTAATGTCAGGTGACTAGGGAAAAGGTCTAATGCACTGGGCACGTCTTGCGGATAATTGTTTCAGGCTAGAACTTAAATCAATTAAAAGAAAAGATGACTGCATGATTTTAATAATGGAGCTTGACCCTCAGGTTGCCGCAAACATCCTTCAATTAAGCAGTCTGAATTACAGTCTTCAGAAAACCTAGAAAAGGTAGGGCAGATCCTGACCTGACTCATTTGGTGAAAACCTGAGGAAATCTTATTAAATGAGTGAAGTCATAACAACATAAATCCAGAGCAAGAGATACCAGCATGAGTCCCTCTGTGGGCATATTCACACTGTACCATGAGTCACAGCACAGATATTCCTAGGCTATAAGACCTCAACGTTTCTGAGTCTTTATGGCTCCGAGGACGATTGTGCAGAATTCCTAGGTCAGGTCTATCTGTGTTGAAAGAGCACCACAGCCAGGCCAGAAAGCCTTATGAATGGATTTTTCAGTCTGAGGCAGCATTATGTGCTTGCAGCCAGGCAAGCTGGATCCTGCTCAGCTAACTCACAACTCTGCAGCATGGTCCTCAGAATGCCAAATGCCGAGTGTATTGCAGCTGGAGACAGTTTGGGGCCTGCCTGCATCTACCACCACAAGATGGTAGAAGGGAACAGGTATTTTAGCAACAGTTTCCACAGCCTGATTCAGATTTTACATAGTTTATATAGTTTAACTCCATTGACTTGAAAGGACTTATTTGTGTATAACGCTAGTGTGACGAATGGGACAATCTGTCCTGAAGGTTACATAGCTTTCATAGCCAAGCATTTGGCAGGGTATTTTTGGGACAGTACAGGTTCTGTCTGGATAAGAATGGACATGGGACACTGCTGATCCAAACTTCTGAGGCACATCATGCTGTCATGTTACCTAAATCAAGAATGCTGAGAGAAAATTAGAATTACCCTTGCAAAAGTAGTCACTTGTTAAAAAATGCCCAACAATGACCCAGCACGTTTGTCAAGATGTGCTATGATTATACAGTAATAAATACTACTTGATTCAATCAAATGTTCATTTTTTCTTCACTTTGTTGCCATTTAATATGGCAACTGACAATCCCATGCTGGATTCAGCATCATGATTCCTAGGCTCAGTTCAGGCAGAACCTTGTCCTCTGCATTTTGAATCTAACTCTAGCATCTTCTCTAGGTACTGAAATACTAATGCTTGCAATTGCCAGCAGTGGATATGCACTAACAAGTATAATTTACCTTACAACACTTCCATGATCCATTATAAACTTAAGAGGACTTAAGCACCCAGTTTCTATGAAAAACAAAATTCTTTCTGGATTTGTTGCATTCTTTGGCTTTATATAAACATAAATACGAAAAAAAAAATCAGATTAAATAGCTGAATAAGAATTTGCAGAAAAGAGTATGTATTGCATCCTGTGACATGCAACTGTTTATAATGTTACGCTGCCTAATCTAGCTGTCTTTCGAAAAAGTTCAGTTACACATAAGTAAAAAAAAAAAATCACTGGTATAGCTTAAGTGAAGTAAAAGCTTACAGGAGGGAGGATTCAGGCCTAAGGCATTTCATCACCTTTCAGACTAATTGTAGACATTGAGTTCTTTGTGAGAAACAGTACAAAATTTAACTGAAAAGTATAAGGATTCTTCCTCTCAAGTATTCTGTGTTTCCGAAGAAACAATTTCCTCTCTTACTGCAGACAGGATATATAGCACCTTTGGATAGCTTCTTGTACTTTTTTGAAATGTCAGAAAATACAAAAACAAAACAAAAATCTCTCCCTTACAATGCAGTTCCTTGAATTGCTACTTAAGAATAGTGCATGATATAGGGACGACAGGATTACCTTTCATACAAAGTGGAAGATTCGGTATGGATTCTTCTATTGTGGATAATGGCAGCAAGAGTTCAGGATAAAAAATTTCAAGTACACCTGGAAGCATATGAACTCTTCGTACCTCATGAGTGACCACTATCTGCTGACAACAAGGTGCAGTTCAAAGGTTTTTTGAGGCACTCTGGAGACTGGCTTGAATCCTGCGGTCTTGGAATCAAACCTCGGAGCTGTCGCTGGTGTAATTATACGGTAGCATCATTGGTTCTTTGCTGCCCGACTCCTTTGTGGCTTCCTTCTTCTCAGAATTTTGTTTCCCTTTTAGCAGCAAAATGATGATTGCAACTAAGCAGATGGCAAGGAAAATGGCAGCAGCTCCACCAATGATTGTGACTATGCTGACCCCTGCGCTTTGGTTATTCAGTTCCCTGGGGAGAACGCCATTGACCACAACCTCCCTTTGAGGAACCTGTTTCTTGCTGGTGCGATCCAGTGCTATGTGCTGTATATTTGTTCCTCGGTTGTTTCCTACTCCAATGTCTTTTGCAAATTCTGGGTCCTGTTCAGCTCCCCTTTTCTGACGCCTCTGTGTGGAAGCTGCTGGGGTCCCACCACTAAAGAGCGAGTGGTATTGGTGCTCCACGCTTCTTTTGCCAATTCCGCGGTTAGCATTCTCTTTTGAACGTACAGTATAGATTGTATGGACATACCACTCCCTACCCAAAGACACCTAGAAAGACACAAATTTTTGTATTTAAACACACATATACTCAACCTGAATAGCACTATACACAGAGGAAATCAATCACTGTTCTGAATTAATTGCCTGGACAAGTACTTTCAAAATCATGCACAGATAACCCCCCCACTATTTGCCAATGTGCACCAGAGGAGTCACGTTTTCTGCCAAAATTTCAAGACAGTGTAGTCACTATTCCTCTCCATGGCCAGACTCTATGGCTATCAGGGGCAGATGAAGAAGCATAGCCTTGGCATTGTTTTGGTACTGTTAATACCAAGGGCCATATAAAGGACCTTCCAGGCCTAACCTGCCAGCTGACTAGGCCCTGGCTGTGGCTCTATTTCCATCTTAACATAAGAAAACAATTTTTTACTGTGAGGATGGTTGAACATTGGAGCAGGGAGGCTGTGGAGTGCCCATCCTTAGAGATATTCAAAATCCAATTGTACACAATCCTGGGCAACCTGCTCTAGGTGACCCTGCTTTGAGCAGGGGGTTGGAAGAAACAATCTCCAGAGATCCCTGACAACCTCATCCATTCTGTGATTCCGTAATTTCCTGTAGTCTGTGTGAGATGATGCTATCTTCTTTGAATTTGTCTTCTGTATACATAATAAATTGGCCTCCACAAGGACCAGTAGGATTGTCTGAATACTGTCTTAAAGCTACTGGCTGATAATTTCAGTGGCTGCAGCCAAGTTCTGTTATTGTTGAGAAATAACACATTTTCTATTATTTTACTCCTGTTTTTCCAAGTCTTTCTCAGGATATACTGATGTTTCTTCATATTCTCATTCTTCTGACAGAATAAGGACCAAAAATCATCGCATTATTGGAAATGGATTCTTCCTATAAAACCTGAGATTTCATTTTCATGGAGGCAGATTATGAAAACTTTTTTATACTGGTAAGTTGTCTAATCTCTTAAGTATTCCACTGCTTACAATGGGACCTTTAGTACTGAAGTGGCCAAGAGTAGGATTAAAATCTCCTCAATATTTTTTCTACTAAGTTATACACTTGAGTTTTGCATGTAGTTTTGCAAATACTAAAGAGACAAATAATGAAGAGACAGCTCCTGTCTGGGTTATATAGATCAAAGGGATGAACGTACACAGCTGAAGAATTATATTTAATTAAGAAGTAGCTGCACCCTTTAGTTGTCAATTTTTAGGTCTCCCAGTGCTTAGATGTTTCACAATGTGCAAGTGTGCCTGGAAAGAATTGCATGGAAAAAGCTGAAGTTGATGAAGTTCATTATAAATGGTTATGATTCTTTTATTTTTTGTCTTTGACCAGTGAGATGGGAAGCAATAAAACAATGGTGTGTAACAACAAACTTATCAAGTTCTTAGAAGAAATGCATACGAACAATTTCTATAATTTCTGGTTAGACTGGGGAATTAAGCAAGAGAAAGGCATAGTATCCCCACAGAAACCTTTTAACAAGTGCTTGAAATTTTATATCTAGAATTTTTTAAGCATTTATAATCCTGTTTGACTGTCACCGGAATCAAAATAAATCTTTCTATTGGCTTCAACATGACTTACTGTTAACAACACTTCTTGTGCAAGTGTTTCTTTCCTGGTTCAG